CCAGAAAGCTGTAAACTCAAAACCCTGTTCGTGGCAGGCCGCGGGTCTAGCTTCCGGTCCTTGCGCGGCCCCCGGCGCTGCTGAGCCACCGGGGCGGCACTTGATTTTAGGGCTTCTCTTAGCCCGAAATAGCTACCTTTTATGAGGATTTGTTCATGAAAACTGGAGGCACGCAAATTTTCAGAAAGAAATGTAGGCCTTACAGGGTCCACGCAGGGTTTGTGATGTCCCGGAACTTGGTTGGAGGTCAGGAGCCGGGGTTAAGCAGGATTCTGTCCATCTGCATTGTATTCTTCTTCGTTATAGTGGTTTTGTGGGTTTAGGGTTATCAACTGGCTATGCGAAACAGTGGCTTCGGAAATGTAGTCAGCGCCATATGAAGTATAGCTTCTCAGGTCTTGAGGGGTTGAGGGCACATGCACCATCATCGCCATCGTCGAACCTCTTCGCAACTTTGGTTCAGTGCTGTTACGGTTCACCCTCCTCGTTCGTTAGTGAAGCGACCAGCGCCGCAAGGTAGTTCTCGCAACCTGGGACAGGAGCATGGAGTTGGCATGAGTTTCGTAAGGACATACCCATATTATCGTCCCTTTGTGGGTACCTTAAATAATCGGTGCCGTATTATATATGGGACCCAAAACGGGACCAGAATTTTGACAAGCACCCACATCGCATACCCTACTCCGGCCCGACAGTACCTCTTTACCCAGAGGCCCCAAAGTAGTTCTTTTTTGGGATTACATTATAGGATTCTATATATGAACCCCAAAAAACAACTACTTTGGGGCCTCTCTTTAGGAACCCGTGTCCGGAGCTGGAGGATATGCGAAGCACAGCCAAACTCATCCCCCCCACACCACTCAGAACAACGATGGACTCCTTGTCAGGGCCCTACTTGGAGGATCATGGGACTTAGTAAGTGTGGTTATAAGTCCCTTAATTGGGGTTATAAGTAATTATAAGTATAGCTACCCCACCAAGAACCCTAGTTACTAAGTCCAATGATCCTTTAAGTAGTCGTTAGAGTCGGGGTCTTGGAATTTCTAGGGCGTAGTTGCGTACCTCCGGAGAGTGGGCTGGCTCTTCTCGTCAAAACCCTTACACCTCAGCTTCTGGTGCTGACCTGACGTCAACTCTGCGGGGTTTTGAGGATGTACCTTGACTTAACCCAATAACCTCTGTTAAGGACTTATACACCTAAGAGCTTGTAGAAGGACATTTCAATACGGAGCCCCAAACATGTAGGTTTCTTAGGGTCCAGATAAAGCTCAAAGCTCAGTAAACCCTAAACCCTGAACCCTAAAGACTAAACCCTGAACCCTAAAACCCTAAAGCCCTAAACCCTAAACCCTAAACCCTGAACCCCGATCCCTAAACCCAAACCCCAAAGCACGGCCAGAGGAAAGCAGCAGCAGCCGCCTTTGAGGCTGCGACGAAAGCTGGGCTGACGAAGGAGCAGTCGAGGGGTTGGAGTTTAGCGTTTAGAATTTAGGGGTTTAGGGCTTTAGGGCTTTAGGGTTCAGGGTTTAGAATTTACGGTGTAGGGCTTTAGGGTGTAGGGCCTTAGACTTTGGGAGTTTCCGAAAAGTAGGGGTACCTTATTTTGGGGTCCTGATAATAAGGATCCTACTGTTTAGGGTACTATATGTGAGGGTCCCCTATTTTTCGGAAACTCCCATTTAGGCTGTGGGGCTTTGGGGGGTAGGGCCTTAGGGTTTAGGAGTTTAGGTCTAGGAATTTAGGGTGTAGGGCTTTAGGGTGTAGGGCCTTAGGGTTTAGGAGTTTAGGGTTTAGGGCTTACGGGTTCCAAGGTTTAGGGTTTAAGAGGCTAGGGGTCATGTCAAAGCTCTGTCGATGCTTACTCAAAGTCCCACCCTACTTTTCGGTAGGTTTAATAGTGTTTGTATGACCCTACACAAAAGCAGGTTTTGTGTAGTTCAACGTAAGCCTGTTTCAGTCTCGTCGTTTGTGCGCTGCCGACGTTTCGACTGCAGATGTAACAGACAGTCTGCGGGCCCATCGGCATTAGTTTACTTGTCATCATTAGATGATGATAACCCCTTTGAACTTTCAACTTTCTGCAAGAATGAAACCCTGTCTAAAAGTGAAAGTTTAAACTTTTCTGGGCTAATTAATGAACTCGGCAACTAAGACCCCAACAGAAACAAGCCTTGAAAGCTTCAACCCTGAGACCTCACATGGAGAAGTGTACCAAGGCTCAGAAGAATCCTAAAACTTTAGGGTTTAGGGTTTAGGGCAACCCGGACCCTAAAGCAAGGCCAACCCTTAAAGCCTCAACCGTCAACCCCAGAATAACCCTAAAACCCAAACACCAATATACCCTAAGTCCTATACAAACCGACAAATCTCGTAAAGGAACCCCTTACAGGAACCCCTTGAAGGAACCCTGAAAGGAACCCTTAACGGAACGCTTGAACCCCTTAAAAAAGGAAGGCTTCAAGGAACCTTCAAAGGAACACTAACCAAATAAATCCGATCGCAGGAGCAGGGGGCGCTGGAAGCGGCTCGCGCAGCCGCCCGCGCTGCAGCAGCTGCATCCTCCGAATCAGGCTCTTACTAGAGTCGTGTTTAGGATCAGGGAATAGGGTTTAGGACCGATTTAGGGAATAGGGAAGAATTAGGGTTGAGTTAAGTACGGGTTTGCGGAATGGGGTTTAGGGTGTTAGTTTCCTAGGATTTCTGAAATTTTGTTCATATAAAAGTAGTATCACGAATATTACTTTTATTACGGTTCTAAGGGGGTATAGCTTAGTCGGGTTTAGGATTCCGGGTTCAGGGTCTAGGATCTCGAGTTCAGGGTCTGCGGTTCAGAGTTTAGGATTTACGGTTCAGGGTTTTAGGGTTCAGTGTTTAGGGAGTGGGGTTCAGGGTTCAAGAGGTGCTTCTTAAAATTGCTTTGTGCGGTTTTAGGATCAGGGGATGTCAGGCGACTACAGCTATTGCGGCATATGTGTGGTTCTCTAAATTAGGGCCCCCTTTGGGGGTCCTTCTTTTAATTAAAGGTGCCGCCTCATATTGAAGTTTCGAAAAAGGGACCCAACTTAAAGAACTGCCCACATCCTGCCTCCCTCAGGGTGCTTCTCGATCCCTTGTCGACTACACAACAGAGACATACCTACAGTTTCCATTGTGGTTTTTAGGTTAACCAGGTTTATATCAGAGGATCTTAACCATAAAATTGGTTAGCCAAAAAAGGAACTGCAATGGAGCAGGTAGGGTCCTCCAGGACGTGGAGGCTTCTTCGGTTTGGCGAGCTGAGAAAGTGTCCAACACAAGTTGGGGGCATCGGACTAGGTTCTGGCTCAGTAATTAAGTTGGAGTCTCCGAAAATAGGGGATCCTCATTATAAGGACCCCAAGATAAGGTACCCCTATTTTCGGAAGCTCCCAAACCCTAAACCTATAAATGCCTTATAGGAACCCTTAAAGGAACCCTTATAGATCCCTTTAAAGGAACTTACCCCTAGTTTTCGGCAACGCCCATATCAAATAGGTTTAGGGTTTTGGGTGTAAGGGCGATCGTCGAAGTTTGGGAGTGTTATCTTGAGAGCTATTCTCTAACGACTCTCATACCAAGTGCGTGCCTAAAAGCCCTAAACCGAACCCTAAAGCCCTAAAACCCTAAACCCTAAAAGCCCTAAAAGCCCGAAACCCACACCCGAAAGCCCTAAACCCTAAAGCCCTAAACCCTAAACCCCTAGACCCCTTGTCCCTGAAAGCCCTAAAGCCCCAAAGTGGCCAGGGTCGCTTTCGCAGGCTTACAGTCGAGCCTTACGAGGGCTCTAACCGATGGTTGCGGACGCTTTTGCTTAAGCCGGTTTAGGTCTAGGGTACCAACAATGAATATATAAAAAGGTTTTTTATATATGGGGGAACTCTGTAAGGGTTCTAAGAGGTATTCTGCAGGGTTTTTTTGGAGTTTGAAGGGTTTCAAACAGATTTGAAAGGACCTCCAATTAAGTCCTCGGCATTAGGACAGTAGTTCAGTAGGTTAGTGTTTGGGAGAATGTATGGGTGGTTGTCAAAACTATGGTCCTTTTCTGGGTCCCTATGAGAAAAAACGGCACCTGGTGTTTAGGGTACCCAAAAAGGGACCCTGATTTTGACAACCACCCCCGTATGATTGTTAGGTATTATAGGTGCTGTGGCTTCGGCACCCTTCCATTTAAGAGAAGAGGGTATTAGAGGCTCGACGAACGAAGCCTGCAGAGCCAAGATTTTGCGGGGGTCACAGTGACAAAGAGTTTCTTTTCATGTGGTCGCGCTTCGTCTGTCTTGCTACGGGAGGTGGTGCTATGTGGAGTTTTCCAAAACATGCTTTTTTAATAACCAGAGGGCTGAACATGAGGGGGGAAGTAGGTTGGTAATGAGTGGCATAACGTGTCATGGAACTATATCATGAACTGTCGAATGCAAAAACACATTTTCCACGACGAAACATTCACTGCAATGGCAACTACCATGCAAGTAGAACACTGTCACGGATAATTGCGAGACTTCTTCTTACATGCAGCATGGCATAGTAAAGCCACGTTCTGATTCATACGGGCCGCATCTATAGCCCCTCAGTATGTCTGTGCTTCCTGAAAACTTGGTGCATTGCATGCCTTGTATTTCGAGAACAGCTGTCCCAGCACATTTGGCGAGCGTTGCACATCAGCTCCGCCACCGGGATTGCTCTCACTGGGAAGACATCAAGCTGAGACCTGCGTTTAGTTCTGTTCGAAACGGTCAGCTCAGTTTGGATAGCACTTTCACGGTTGAGGAAGTACCGGCTGTGAGAGCTTCATGTTGTAACTCCACATACTAGAAAGGGTTTAGGATTTAGGGCTTCAGGGTTTAGAAATCACTTGACATGGACCCTAAACCCTGAGACCTCAACGATTGAAAATCCTTAGAAGCCTGTCTCTGTTGGGTTGGCTCACCATCTGCATGTTGCGCTAGTCACCTGCTCAAGTCGTTTGTTTCGTTGCCACTCCGATGGCATCAATGGCCTCTCCGGGGGAATCTACGGAAAGAAGCTCGGCATTTCAACCGTAAACCCTAAACCCGAAACCCGGAAACCAAACATGTAGCCCGAGACTCCAACCTGTAATTCAACCTTGAACTCTCAGCCCAGAATACTCCGAAATCTCGCACTCTAATGAAAGTACTGATACAGCTGATATAATTGAAGTTGCAGTAGAGTTTGCTCAAGAATGGGATCCAGAATGAAGTGGTTGAGTCTTGTCTACGGTGCCTGGCATACAGCCGGCAGGCATCAGGTAACTTGCTTTGGCCCTTGCTGTTTCAAAGTGCTACCTCTTCAGAAGGTTCCAGAACCCTGCATGCAGCAGTCCAGCAACTCGCGACCATGTTAAGGGCTCGAGCGCCAGAACCAACGTGGGGGGGGTTGCATTTTGCATGAACCAAATTCGACATGGGCTTCGTCCTTAAACCCTATACTCGCCTTAAACCTTAAGCCCATGGCTCAAGAAGCTTAGCCCTCCCCCCTCCCCCAAACTCGAGACCCTGAACCCTTCACCCTCAACTCAAATCCGGTCCTAATCACCGAAGTCAGCTCGTCTTCCCCCCCCCATTCCCAAGGATTCGGGGTGCTGAGTCTGCCGGCTGTGGCTAATATAGAGGCCTCAATTAAAAATTACCCATACTAACCCCCAAAACCCTATGCTAACTACTAATGCCACTGTACTAGTTACTTATGTTGGGGGATGCCTATCAACTTATCATGGCAGTTTGTAGCTATGTAGGCACGTAGGACCTTTTTCGAGGGTTTGAAGTGCAGGGTTAAGCGGCTTAAGCACACAGGCCACATAGGCTTAGGTAGTTTTCGGGTAGATATACAGTGCGGGTGAGGATGAAACGTCATGTGAGTAGTTGTCAAAATTAGAGTCCTTTTTCGGGTACCCTAAATATTAGGTGCCGTATTACAAGGACCCAAAAGGGACCCTATTTTTGACAACCACTTATGTGGCTGTGTCTTTCACTGATCAGCTCTCTTGCTGAATCGCGGCTGTTGCTAGTGCCTTCTCGTTTGAGGTAAAAGGGTCTTAGCATAAAAAACTGGCCAGCCAAAACAAGAGATAAATTGTAGAGTAGAGGCTGACCCAAGTAGAACCTATAATGGTTACTTAGTAACCATTATATATGCATATATATATATATATATATACATGTGTATGAACCCTTCTGGCACCCTTAAAGGACCCCTTTAAGGGACCCTACTTGGGCACATGGACCCTTAGGGTCAGCACTGTAAGTAGAATACCCCGGTTCTGGTGACCATGGACGACATGTTTGGACTGCCCTTATGATATGGGTTCTAGGCCCAGAGACTCCAAAATCCCTTAATTAAGGAATATTCCTTCAACCATATTAGGGATCCTATGATAATTTAAGGTATATTCCTTAATTAAGGAATATTGGAGTCTCTGGGGGGGTTAGATGTCGGATTTTGGGGTGAAAGGTCAAGAGCCCTAAAGCCTAAACTCCCAGGGTTTAGTAGAGACATTTCGCTGAGTTGTCCAACACTCGGAACTTAGATCTCCTTCCCATGAACCCGAAACCCTAAACAACCATTTAATAGAACCCTTACCTAAACTCTAAACCCTATCAGGACCCCCCAAGTACCCTTTAATAGAGCCCTCATGGTCCTTAATTGTGGGTATTTGGGGGTATATTAGAGGGTAGTTGAGGGGTCTAGGTAATAGATCCCTTACCTAATCTTAAACCCTAAGCCCTAAAAATGGGACCCTTGAGACCGTAAAATAGAACCCTCACCTAAACCCTAAACCCTGTTTAGGGTTTAGGGTTTAGGGTTTAGGGATCGCTAAGCTAATCTTAAGCCTTAAGCCCTAGAAAGGGCACCCTTGAATCTCATGCCCATGCTAAGGCGAGAAGTCAGACTCTGCTGTGAACTCCGCTGCGAGCAGTAGCGACTACAGAAGGACGCGCAGAGTGGGATCGCGTAGCAGTGCCACGGTTAAGGGTTATAGGGTTTCGGATTTAGAGTTTAGGGTTTAGGGGGGTTAGGGTGATAATAGGGTTTCGGAATTAGAGTTTTCGGTTTTGGGGGTTTAGGGTTTAGGGCCTTTAAGGGGGTCAGGGCGTAGTTGACGCGTCGTAACCTGGTCGGGCATCCAGGATTTCCTTAGACCCCAAAGAGGCCCAAGGGCCACTTATAGTCTCCATTGTAGTTCATTTTTGGGGTTACCTTATAGGATCCCTAATATACAACTGGTTAAACCACGAAAAGGAACTACAATGGAGACTATAGGTATGTCTCGGAGATTCGGCACCCTCCTATAAGGCGAGAATTGGGCAGGGTAGGGTTTAGCGCTCTACCTAGAGGCTCATACCCTACCCCTTTTTTATTGCGCCTACTTTTGTAAGATAACAGATCCTAACCATAAAACTAGGCATCCGACAAAAGGGGTAGGGCATGGGCCTCTGCCTGTAGTCTCCATTGTAGTTCCTTTTGGGGGTTACCTTTTAGGATCCCTAATATAGAACTGGTTAAACCAAAAAAAGGAACTACAATGGAGACTATAGGTAGGTAGGAAGTCGGGTCGAGTCGATGAGAGTCGGCTCATTGGGTTGCGCAGTTTACCTGACTATCGAGTGTCATGGTTGCCCGAAGCCCTGAACCCTAGACGCTCAACCTTTGCTCCATATGGAGTTAAGGGGTTGTGAGTGGGGCCAGTCGCAGAAATCGCCGCAGTCTGGGGCGTTATGGGCAGCAGCAGCAGCAGCAGCAGCAGCAGCGGCAGAAAGCAGCAAATGGGAGGAGTAACATAGGGGTGCATTAACTAGCAGTAGTGTCCCTAACAGTCCTTGATTAGTCACTATGACCCAGAAGCCCATTCTGCTTATCAATGCCCCGGCATCATATTCACGAGACGAGAATAACGCTGAACGGCCGGAACGGTGCCCTGTACTTGGAGGGTCGGGGTACTTACTAAGTAGTTATTTTATAGAGTCATAAGTACCACAACCCCAAATAGGATCCATTTTAGTGTACTTATAACTCTACTTATGACCTACTTACTAGGTCCCCTGACCCTCCAAGTAGCGTTGCAAGTCAAAGACGCCTTATCATCAGCCTCATAGAATCTCATGGCGTAAACCGCTTTGGCCCTATCAAACTGCCGTCTGAAAACCTAAACCCTCAACCCCAAAGCCAAAGCAACAGCCCCTCCAGATGATCCTGAATAATTGTTAATGCCATTGCCTAGGGTTCCTTAGTATAAGTAGATTACTATACCCCCCCCAAGCCCTATTCTAATTATTTCGACCCCTGCATTACTCCCATGTGGCTTGGCAGTATGAGTCCCTTGTTGCAGGAGTGTCGAAGTTGTGAAAACCGGGAGCATCAAAGATGAGATGGACCATACTCACACTATGCAGACACGCTCTTCTGCGGACTCCAGGAGGACTGACCTGTGGGGATGTTAGGGTCGAGACAGATACAACTTGTGGATCTACTGTTGATGGTATAAATCCTGCATGACCTTAAGGACCCGAAACTATGGGAATTATGGTATATATTCCTTATAAAATCACAAGCACGGGCGAACAGAACGGTGACGACACTCATTCGGAACCATAGCATTCTGCTGCTCGAGCACCTAAAGAGACCAGCACCGACCATCGGTGGCGTCCCAGCAGTCGTCGTTGATATCGACATCGTCGTAGTCCCTGTCGTCGTTGTTGTTGTTCTTGTTGTTGTCGTTGTTGTTGGCGGCGGTGGCCGTGGTGGTGGTGGCCGTGGTGGTGGTGGTGGTGGTTTTGGCGGTGGCGGTGGTGGTGGTGGTGGTGGTGGTGGTGGTGGTGGTGGTGGTGGCGGTGGCGGTGGCGGTGGCGGCGGCGGTTTTGGTGGTGGTGGTGGTGGTGGTGATGATGCTGGTGGTTTTGGTGGCGATGCCGGTGGTGGCGGTTGTGGTGTTGGTGTCGGCGGTGCTGGGGGTGGTGGTCGCGGCGGTTTCTGTGGCAATGCCTTGTTGTTGTTGTTGGTGGTAGTGGTGTTATTGTTGCTGTTGTTGTTGCTGCTGCTGCTGCTGCTGCTGCCGCTGGCTCTTGCTTCTGTTGCTGCGGTTGCTGTCGCTGTGCTGTTGCTGTTATTGCTGTGGTCACTGCTCTTGCAGTGGGCAGCGGCAGCCGCCTGCAGAAGCGGCAGCGGAAGTAGCAGCAGCAGTAGCACTGAAGAAGCACAGTCTGGAACGCAATAGGTTCTCGACCACAGACATCCATGCATTCGATCTTTTTTGGACAGGAGACGCGCGCTGTCGAGCAAGTTTGTCAAAGCAAAGACTGCAAACATGGTGTACAACAGTGGCGCATCTTGGAGGGACTGCACGATTCTGACCCAGTTTGCCGTGAGGTACACCCGAAACAAGTTTATGGCAAATCTGTTCGCTTTGATTGTTTTGGTCGACTTCCTGTGTACATGCATCGACGTTGACACCCGAGCCACCGGAGCAAACACTGGTGATTTGGTACAAATCACAGCAGACCTGTGTCTTTGCGCGTACTCTATCGACACGGTCCTCGTGGTCATAGCGAAAGGAATCCGAATACTGCTGGATCCTATGATGATGACGGACGCTTTTGTTCTCACCTGCGGCTATGTCGAGACACTTATGCAGTACTTGGGCTATGGCGACCTCATGAGCAGCGTTGCCGTGTTCAGAATGCTGCGATTGGTACGAATCCTGCGTGTTACTCGAGTCCTGAGGCGCACGGGAGGCTTTCGCGAGCTGCAGAAGCTGATCCGCATGTTGTCAACCTGCTTGAAAACACTGTTTTGGTCGTTCATATTCTGCTTTGTCATGATGACGGTTTGGGCGCTCCTGATCGTAGAGCTAGTCAACCCCTTGATGGAGGAGGTTTTCGAAGATTGCTTGGAGTGCCAGAAGTCAACATCTTCTGTCATGCGTGCGAACGTGCTTCTGTTCAAGACGGTGATCGCTGGCGACAGCTGGGGACAAATATCTGTGCCGATGATGGAGGAATATCCGCTTACTGCTATTATATTTATGGGGTCCCTTCTGACGCTGGTTTTTGGCGTCATGAACCTTATCGCGCAGCCCTTAGTTGCGGATACCCTGTGATCCGGATACTGTTGAGCAAACCTGACACCTGCAAGTGTAAGATTTATCCTAGATCCCAAATCCCCAACCTTTAAACTTGTTGGGTTCTTATAGTTTAGTAGGAATCGGAAAATTTACAATTTGATTTCTGTGGTTTATTGGGGAGCAAGTTGTGCGTTGGGATATAAGCCTGAGTATATACACCCAACCGTGACAACTCGAACGCTTCTGTTTTGGTTTCTGCGATGTGCGTTGCGTAGGGCCAGTGCGGAGGTATAAGTAATGAGTAACTGTGAAGGCACCTTTCTTGCAGTTCGTGGAACTAAGCCGGACCTGTTTTTGGCGCTTTGCCGATGGATGTTGCAAACTAGGTAACTAGAGCTTCTTCCGTAAGCCCTAAACAATAGGTTGAGGGCAGGACATGAATGGCTTTGAACAGTTGCACCTTGTCAGAAAGCTTAGTAGCTGAGTGGATACACTCTACACGGGATAATCTTACCCACTATAGAACTGAAAGCGTACATTTTGGGGACAGATGGGAGTTTCCGAGAATAGGGGACCCTTATATAGTACCCTAAATAGTAGGATCCTTGTTATAAGGACCCCAAAATAAGGTACCACAAGTTATCGGAAACTCCCAAACCCTAAACCTATAAATCCCATATAGGAACCCTTAAAGGAACCCTTATAGATCCCTTTAAAGGAACCTCTAAACCTATAAATCCCCTATAGGAACCCTTAAAGGAACCCTTAAAGGAACCCTTTAAAGGAACCTCTAGTTCTCGGCAACGCCCATATCAATGGTTAGCTACGTCCAAACCCTCCGTATGAACTCAGCAACTAAGAAAATGGAGCCGTCCTGTAAGTTGAAGCTCAACAGTCCTCGAAGATGATAAGACGAGTTCAGATTCTAAGGGTTTAGGGTTCAGATTTTAGGGTTTAGGGTTCAGGTTTTAAGGGGTTAGGGTTCAGATTTTAAGGGATTAGGGTGCAGATTTTAGGATTTAGGGTTTAGGGTTTGCCAAGCTCCGTAAAGTAGGTCAATCGAGGCAGGGTGTGTTGGATCGCCTCAGCAGAACAACCCTCATGTTCGCAAGAGAAGCAGAACTCTGCATCAGCGGAGAACTGTTCCATGTTGTAACAGATACCCTCAAAGCCTAACGTCTTAAAGACAAATATCAGAAAATCATAGTAACGAGCCGCAATAGCAAAACAGTATTTTGGGGAGGTTGACTAGACCAACATAGATAAACGCTATAATTCGGCACGCCTAGTCGAATTTGTGAATTTGTGCCTGAAGAGAAAGCTGGTTAATATCAACCCAGATGCATCAAAGCCCCAGACCCTTGAACCTTAAATCATACTAGGGCTCCTCTTACGGCACTGAGCCTTGAGCCTTAAGTTAAAGCATTTTCCTTGAATCCTTCAGGGGTTTTGCAAGTTTCTGTGGAGCCGTGAATCCTGAAACAGCCCGCTCAAGTATTGCGCACATGGGCACTTTAGACAGATTCAGGGATGAGGGTTTAGGGATTATATAAGGGTTTAGGGCTCAGGGACTCTCAGCTACTTGTAGCCCCATCTCATGGACCCGAAAAGCACAACATTGAATCTTATAAGCCCTCCCTAAATTGACAGACGAATTGAATCAAGACACTACCCCGTGTAGTTAGCGTAACTCCTATACTGCCTCTAAACATGAGCCCCAAAGCACTCAGCACGGCGCAGTACTTGCAGACACCTTGTAAGCCCGCCATGCCACGACTCCTCAGGTGGCAGTGGTCGTGGATACATTCGCGGAAGCTCGTCAACGCGATGCACCTCAACCATAAAGTTTGCTAGACATTCCCAGAGATCCCAGTTCTTCCGAAGTCTTTAAAATGCCTCACAGTGGTGGATTCTGGCAACGAAAATTAGGATATCTGGGCCCGAAGTCAGGGTGTCGAGGGCTACCCACATCCCTTCATCACCCCAAAAACCTGGTCTTGCAGGTGGCTCAGACGGTTTAGCGATGCAGAGTCGGCTTGCGTTAAGGCTGTATGGACTCATGGTTTCAGGCTGTTGGGCCCAAACACCTTGCTGCACCAGACTCAGACTACTTCCTGCTTGTTCTTGAAACTACCCTAAAGCACCAAAGTAGTTCCTTTTGGGGGTTCCCATATAGAATCCTATAAGGTAATGCCAAAAAAGGAATCCACTTTGGGGCCCATGGGTAAAACCCAGTCTGGAGCCCCCCCAGGCCCCTCAACAGTAAAACCCTGAAGCTTAAACCCTCAAACGCTTTAGGGCTTTAGGTTTAGGGTTTAGGGTTTATAGGGTTTAGGGTTTAGGGTTACTTAGGTTGTGTTATTTTGACATTGTTTGAGTTCCTGCTGGCCTCATAGAAAAGGAGCTTTTTAACAAGCTCAAGCCTAAAATCCGAAGCCTTAAACCCTAAACCCCTACACCCTAAAACCCTAAACCATCATCCCTAAGCTCCTCAACCCTCTAAGCCTTAAACCCGAAACCCTAAGATCCTAAACCTTAAACCCTAAACCCCTAAACCCTAAATCCTTCAGCCCCCTGATCTCCAGGTCTTGAACCTGGCAGAGGAGATGCAGAACAACGAAAACATTGATCGCGAGCGGCTGGAACGGATCTTCAAGCGCATCTCTGCGGATCTGTCTTCGTGGTTTAGGGTTTCAGTTGGATTTAGGCTTTACCGGGACCCAAAGAAACCTAATTTTTGAGGACTTGTGTATGGAAATCAACACAGGGAACCCAAAAAAAACGCAGGTTCTTTAGGGTTCAGGTATGGTTAATATAGGGGCCGTAATAGCTACATTTATAATGATAATGGGCCCCCAAACCCTATTCTAATTATTCAGGCCCCTATATCATAGTACCCTTATAGATCCCTTATAGTCACCCTTATATAGACCCCCTTTCAAGGAACCCCCAAACCCTATTCTTGTTAGATTAAATTCAGCTGTTTGTTTTAACAATTTTTTTTATTTCAATTATGTTAATTATTAAATAAGGCCCCCTATAGTAGGGCAGAGCTGTCCTCGGCTCCGGAGTGTGGGTCCAGAGCTGTAGGATTGCAGGGCAAACCCACAGGCTCCATGTACCTTTCTAGTAGATACTTCAGCCTTAAAGGGGTCCCTATATAGGTACTTTAAGGCCTAAGTATATACTATATGGGTACATGGAGCCTTAGGGAAAGGCCCGTGGTAACTAGTCACCGGCCGCTGTCTTGTGGGTCCTCGGGCTCTCCCGCTGGTGTTCCCTGTGGGTGAGTGTTTGGATGCACAGTCATAATGTAGGAACCTGCTTCATGAACCACGGCCCTACAACCCCAATATCTTAGGATTCAGAAAAGGAACTCGACAAAACCCTAAACCCTAAAGACCCGAGGTTTCTTAATCAGGTTCCTATACTACAACTCAAGCTTGCAGCCACAGGCTGGTCAGTAAAACCCAGAGCCAGCAGCCTCTCTCTCTCTCTCTCTCTCTCTCTCTCTCTCTCTCTCTCTCTCTCTCTCTCTCTCTCTCTCTCTCTCTATATATATATAATGGTTTAAAGAGGCATGGTCTCTCTCTCTCTCTCTCTCTCTCTCTCTCTCTCTCTCTCTCTCTCTCTCTCTCTCTCTCTACCTATATATAATGGTTTAAAGAGGCATGGTCAGATGAAGGCCTGTAAAGGGCAGGGATTTATTAATCAGGGGTCGACAGTCTACGAGTCTTAAGTCTTAAACCCTTGAGCCCGAAATCAAAACAGAAGCCCAGCGGTGATCTGAAGCACGGTAGTATAGGGGCCTTAAAATTTAGAATAGGGTTTTGGGGCCCAGTATACTATAACTTTAATAAGGAACCCCAAACTAGTAGAGGTAATTATTAAAGCCCCTGAATTAGGCATAGTATTCCAAGCTTGGTCCGTATAAATTAGGTTTAGGGTTTGGAAGTTTCCGGAAATTAGGGATACCTTATTTCGGGGCCCTTAGAACAAGGATCCTGCTATTTAGTGTTTTGTGTTAAGATAGTTTCAATGAGGTGTATCAGAAATTTACCCCCGAGGCTCTCTTCTGGTTGTAAGCCCCTATATAAACGGAAGGGAGGCTAGGATGCCCAGTAGTACCCTTATTCCCTTTTTGTAGTCCTAGGTTCCTTATAAAGTTACCCAATACCAAAAAGAGAGGCCTTTTTATTCTTAGGTTACTGGGTATCCTAGGAGGGCAGGAGAGACTGAGAAAG